CCTCTTAGCTGCCGGCTGGGCTGTCCTGTGGAGAAATCCATCCACAGGCTAGATTTGCTTGGGAACCTGTGCGCCTTAGCGTCTGTTTGTGGATCAGTGGCCCATTAACTTGTTTAAATTCCTTTTTATCTGCCTCCACTGTTTGTCAGTTCTGCTACTTCCGCTTTCCTAAATCCGGAATCAGTATATAAGCCAGTAAATTTTGGTTACTTAGCGCAAGCCATAAAGGGATTCATGGATCATTAACCAAAGACGGCCTCAATTTCAAGCCTCCTTGTTGAATGCAGCAGGTATGGTGGTGCTGGGTAAGCTCTCAGCAAGCTCAGAATTTCCAGGTGAGAGCGTCCGAAATGTCCAGCCGGGCCAGGGTGCTGGGCTGCCTGCTACCCGCGTCTCGACAGTTGTTAGACGACACTGCTTAGAGAGTGTCTAACCCGTGGTGCGAAGCGCTGCCCTGGCATCCACAGGCTAGATTTGCTTGGGAACCTGTGCGCCTTAGCATCTGTTTGTGGATCAGTGGCCCATTAACTTGTTTAAATTCCTTTTTGTCTGCCTCCACTAACTGTTGCGGCAACAGATTCCAGATTTTACGTTATCTGCTGTGTAAAGGAAGTGTGTTTATTTGTGTTAAGCAGGTTTAAGGGTTATGTCTCTTAAGCACAGAGCATACGGGATGTTAAGCATGTGTGTGATGGTACAAAAATAACATAAAGGTAAGTACATAAGTTCCAGGACTGAAAAATTAAGTTGTGCAACGTAGAGTTCTTCACATATGTCTCTGGCTTTTATGCTTAGTAGGGAAGGAGGCTTCAGACATATAAGCAAAAGTGATATCACTTTTGCTTATAAAGGTACAACAGTTGCATTTAAAAATTCTTTTAGCCGAACACAGCTTCTGGTATTCCATTCTGGTACTCTATTCTGCCGCAAAAAAACCCTAATACACACAACGTTGTAATTTTTTTTCCTGTTCCCTCAGGTTTCAATGGATTTAACAAGTCCCCAGCTACCTTTAAAAGATAATGGTTTTGTAAGTATTTCCTGATGTGCTACCTGGAAAAATTTCTATTTAACAATAGTATCTCTGAATGAAGGTTTGTGCTTGGACTGCTAGGACAGTGCTTCTGAAACTTCTCTCACCTTCCATCCTTTAATAATTTGGACATTGTCATTCCCGCCTCCTGTTCCCATAGGGAGAGTCCCATTCCAAAGCGTCTGCATTACAGATTCTGTTAGAATTTTCCTGTCCTACCTCGCTTGCTCATCTGTCTCTGTGGAGGTTTCTTAGGGGAATTTCCTTTTTCTTGGCACCTCTCTTGATTCGGTTCTTGCAGTGCGGCAAATAGTTTGGATGGGACTTTCCCTGGGATTTCTGGTGTTTTCTTTGTTATTTTTTTCTTTCTTTCAGGTTGAAAACTGTTATCTTAGACCATTTTTCAGTAAAAAACAGGCATTCTTTCTTACCAGCTTCCAGCTGTGGCACGTGCATCCTTCTGCTTTCCTGCACTCAATCCCTTGAGTGAAGGAATTTTTTTCTGGTTTTAAGTTATACTCAGATGGGGATTTCCCTGTTGCTTTAATAGGCATCTGAAACTGGACAAAGTAGTGGAAAAAAATATTTTATATTGTATTGTTTTTAGGAAATACCCAGCATTACCAGGAGAATTGACAAGATTATCTAATTTAGACCTTTTCCATGCCTAAATTTCATGGTTCACATTCAAGTTTTATGTAATCTTAAGTAAAAGGGAGGGATTGTTTCAACGGGTCTCTTCGGATTTTTTTTTCCTGTTCTGCAGAATATTGCAGCCATAGAAACAAAACAGAACAGAGAAGATTTTCTTTCTTCTTGGGCTTTATCCAGTTGTAGTTTTCCCGTGCTTGTGAACTACTGCCCTGAAGTACTTAAATTCTGAAATGCTGCTTTTATCACCTTCCTCCTGCTTGATGTTACCTTTTATTGTCCAATCTCCCTGAGCTTGGAAGCATCCCATTTTGAATTTTTTTTGTCATTAGGCCTGTATATTCTTTTTACATACTCTTAGAGGAACTGTTGAGAAAGTGTATCAATAAACATTTGTGGGTTTGAGGGGCTTAGTTCCCTGTGGAAGAACATAGAGACAACTTGCTTTTATTATTTATCAAAACATTAGCCTGTGAATATTTTCAGTTGGACAGTTAGCAAATAATGATTACCGACCAGGATCCATTTTCTTAGATTTTTGTCCCGTCGAGCCATTAAAATAGTTCAACAATTTGGCCTAAGTGTCTGAATGCATTTTTAAAAAATTATGTGGTATATGCTATCCTCTGGCATGCAGATTCTAGGAAGATTTAACTACGAAATACGATCGGTCTCTCAAAATGTTTGACTCACCACATATCTTGCCTGTATAATTGGAGAAGAACAGCAAATGGGCACACAGGCAAAATACATTGGACTTTCATTAGTGGACGTACCATTGAAAACTACCATGGCAAAATGCATCATCCGACTGCAGAGGGTTTATTCTTTTTTTTATTTTGAAGACTCATTTGAATTGTTTGGTGTGCCTCAGTTATTGCCTAATGGAAGGGAAAACCTGTGTGTGCCTCTTCTTTTCTCTCCAGAACATGACAACCCTCGACCTTTTTGGCTCATCAAAAGATGAGATGGAAGGACTTAAAGAAGAACTGAAGAAATGGAAGGCAAGTTCTGTAAAGCACATAGAATCGTGGCAATTAGCTGAAAGATACTTGGAAGACCTTTAGTCCATCCTTCTAAAACCAAATCAACTCTCCCCCAGCTATAACATGTTTGTCTAACTTGTTCTCTATTCTTCAAGGGTACATGCTTGTGTTGATCTCAGTGGTAACTAGGCTTGTAAGTCTAAGAGCAATATTTATCCAAAGTGTTAAAAATAAATAAATGTAAAGGGCTTGCTTAAGGTTTTGTTTGTTCCCGTGGAAGAAAAAAAAATTAAAAATCTTTTTCTTTTCACTATCCAGGAAAGAGTTGAAAAAGCTGAAAAAACAAAAGCTGACCTTCTTCTCTGTAAATTAAGTGCTAATGAAGAGCATGTTAAAGCAGAGGAGGAGCTGATAAAGCTAAAGGACCTTCAAGAGAAACAGCATAAGGACATTATTAGGTCTAGAGACACCCATGAGGTATGGAGAAGGCTTACTCATAGCTGTTAGTATTTGGGGAATTGTGAAGGAGGTGTTGGTTAGAGAGAATAAGAGTAACATTTCCTTTTCAGTTTAAACGGCTTTACCGGTTTGCAGACTGTATGACTAGAATGTTCTACACATAGTTTTTCGGTGGCAGGTTAAGAACCAGTGCAATAAAGTAAGTCTTATGGTAATGTTGGAAGAGTGAAGGCAAAACTGAGACCTATTTTGTCTAGAAGATGAAGACTGGCAAAACCAGTCTTCCTCTTCCAAGATTCTCTACTAACAGATGAGTTTCAGTTTTGTGTGATGCAGATAAAATTGTATGGGTTGATTCCACTGCTTTGTCAATTCCCAGCCCGTCTTATAAGACGTTACAGCACCCAAGGGATTAGCATTTCTTAAGTGACAGTGAGCTGGGCAAGAGCCAGAACCTGTTTGAAGAGGGCTCTTCTTTCTAGAACTACTTGGTTCTAGAACTAATTGGTTCATTACCTCAGTGTGCCAGGTGCAGTCGTTGGTACAGTAATGGGATAAGTTTCCATAGGCTGTCAAGGAGGTGGTTTCAGTGAAGTTTTGTTTGGCCTGTAAATCACCGATGAGAAATTATGGCTTCAATATTACAAGCTATTAAAATATAATTAATAGGTTAAGTACCTTCAGGTTGGCGTGAGATTTTCTGAAAGTTGGTTTTGGTTCTCCAATCATAAATGTTTGGATTTTATAGCCAGAAGAGGTCATTATCATCATCTGGCTTTTGTTTTACATTATCTTCAGCTGATGGGAACTGGTCTAAATGTCTCGAGCGGTTAATGACTTTAAAGGAGCCATCTTCTAATTGTGTATGACTACATCTGCTGTGTTTCCTTCTCATTCTGTTGTGTTCCCTGTCCAGGAAATACTGGATTTAGTTACATGGGCTTTATGCCCATTTAGGATTCATTGGTGTGGAGGAAGTATGTAGCAGATAGGAGGTAGAAGAGGTGTTCCCTCTTCCTTGCTGAAGAAGTATAAAGAGGGAAGGGTAGGAGTGTGTCAGAGACTGTCCTCACCTGGTAAACTTTTCAGAAAAGGGAGTAACAGTTCCTAGGATCACACGCGGTACAAAAAATAAAATGTTTGTATGTTGACATAGGCTCTGATCTTGCATGTATAAGGAACTGACATAACTATGGAAAGTGCTGTGCAATTTGTGGTACGCTGTATGTGCTTGGAAACACTAACTCCTCGTTTCAAAAACCCTCTTACTGTAGTTTACTTTGACTGAAACTGCTCCTCGGTGAGTGAATTTACCTTGCCGATAGTTAAAGCTATGCAAAAAAATGTATCGCACGTGGCTGTCGTGTAGAATAATTAAAAGTTGAAACAGTTTCTAATGTCTGCAGATTTTGCTGAAATATATTTTTGTCTTCTGTGTGTTTAATTTTGCATTTAATGCTTTTTGGGCTGTAGAAAGAACTCTGTGTACTAAACCAAGGAAACATCGAGCTGAAGAGAGAGATTGAAAAGCTCAAAGAAGACCTTGCAGAATGTAGTTCAGCGCTTTCGCGGGATAGTCGGGTAAAGTTTGAAATATTTTGCAATTTGTCTTTCGGAAGGGCGCATTTTTATTTTGTCAGTTCTAGACCGTTGGGGCCAGTTGTTCAGCATTTGAACCTCTGCTGATTTCAATATAAAACATAGCTTGAAGTTTTATTTTCTTTCTTTACCTGGCAAGATAACGTGAAGCAGGCTAAGGATATGGAAACAAATACAAGTATGTGAGATATTGAAAACATGAGAAGAATGAAGACAAGCAGAAAATTATTAAATGGAAGACACTGGAATAAAAAATACACGTAGCATTAGTAATTTTCAAGTACTCTCATTTTATATTTCGTGGGCAAGAGGATGGAAGAAAGGGAATAAGTCCATTATATGGCAAATGTAGCATTTATTTTAGGCTATATTGAGCTTGACTTGATTATAGTCTCTCTCATGTAACTCCAAATCAGAAATAACTCAATCTGCAGCCAGATAAATATTATTGATACTAAATAGATTAAACTCAGGATCCAAAGTGTCTTTTGGTGAACCTGCTGCAGATTCTAATGTGTTTAGAAATTGGAACTTCTCTTGTGGAAATGTCAGCTTTTAAAAACCTGTTTTCATTCCAAATTGGAACAAAACCAAGTATTTTGGGGAATTTACAGTAAAATGAAAACTCTGATTGTTTTTTGTTTATACAGAGATTGAAACTCTATCCAAGTGTTACCTTGTTTAATGTTAATGATACTACAATATTAGCTTTAGCTTTCTAAATTACATTTCTAAGTTTAGGACATGTCAATTAAGCCCAGCTTCCTAGACTTCCTATGCAGTCATTGGACAGGGCAAGGCTCCTCTAGGAGGAGACTCAGTGTGAGCAGGGGCCTACACCCAGTGTCTGAATTATCTTTAGGAAGAGTGTCTCTCTTTCCACTGGCAGTAGAGGGAGTGGAAAGAAAGCAGG